AACGTGTGGTGCAGATCAAACCAAATAGCAGGACCCACGCTAACTGATGTCTGCTTGGTGCGTCTCGGACTTTAAACGGCAGTAATAATCATGCATGATTAATTATCCCAGCTTTTACACACATGATACGGATGTGAACGACTGTAAATCAGCGCATACACACCTCCTTTCTCTGCCAGCCTGATGTCATTCGGGTTTCCCTCGTAGGTGAAGAGAACCCTGCAGAACACAAACGCACACACGTAAGGGCAATGCATTACATAAGAGATAACCCTCCAGGCCACTGAAGATGAGGACGACACGACACACTCACATATATATATATATATATATATGTGAGTGTGTCGTGTCGTCCTCATCTTCAGTGGCCTGGAGGGTTATCTCTTATGTAATGCATTGCCCTTACGTGTGTGCGTTTGTGTTCTGCAGGGTTCTCTTCACCTACGAGGGAAACACCAATGACATCAGGCTGGCAGAGAAAGGAGGTGTGTATGCGCTGATTTACAGTCGTTCACATCCGTATCATGTGTGCAAAAGCTGGGATAATTAATCATGCATGATTATTACTGCCGTTTAAAGTCCGAGACGCACCAAGCAGACATCAGTTAGCGTGGGTTCTGCTATTTGGTTTGATCTGCACCACACGTTCAGGCTATAGCAATTTGCTTTTGGATTCTTCAAAATAAAAGTCACTATCCATCACTATTATACAGCATATATACTCAGACTGTTCGTCTGACAGAAAAGAAGTCACCAAGAACGGCTTGAGGTTGAATAAATTATGGGGCGATCTTTATTTTTGGGTGTACTGTTCCTTTAAGTGGCTTAAATTATGGGTCGATCTTTATTTTTGGGTGTACTGTTCCTTTAAGTGGCTTAAATTATGGGGTGATCTTTATTTTTGGGTGTACTGTTCCTTTAAGTGGCTTAAATTATAGGGGGGGTCTTTATTTTTGGGTGTACCGTTCCTTTAAGTGGCTTAAATTATGGGGTGATCTTTATTTTTGGGTGTACTGTTCCTTTAAGTGGCTTAAATTATGGGGTGATCTTTATTTTTGGGTGTACTGTTCCTTTAAGTGGCTTAAATTATGGGGTGATCTTTATTTTTGGGTGTACCGTTCCTTTAAGTGGCTTAAATTATGGGGTGATCTTTATTTTTGGGTGTACTGTTCCTTTAAGTGGCTTAAATTATGGGGTGATCTTTATTTTTGGGTGTACTGTTCCTTTAAGTGGCTTAAATTATGGGGTGATCTTTATTTTTGGGTGTACTGTTCCTTTTAGTGGCTTAAATTATGGGGTGATCTTTATTTTTGGGTGTACTGTTCCTTTAAGTGGCTTAAATTATTGGGTGATCTTTATTTTTGGGGGTACTGTTCCTTTAAGTGGCTTAAATTTTGGGGTGATCTTTATTTTTGGGTGTACTGTTCCTTTAAGTGGCTTAAATTATGGGGTGATCTTTATTTTTGGGTGTACTGTTCCTTTAAGTGGCTTAAATTTTGGGGTGATCTTTATTTTTGGGTGTACTGTTCCTTTAAGTGGCTTAAATTATGGGGTGATCTTTAAGTGGCATTTCGCCCATCACCAATGAAAATCAATTGCTCAAAATGATGAAGAACATGTGAAAAGTGCTGGAAATAAGCTGTGTGCGCATTAGGCTTTAGTGTGTGTTTGAAGCAAATGCTGTCCGTGTCTTTAGCCTGCAGGAATTGTTTCACGGTGCAGTGTGTTCTCTGAGTTGATTACATGAGCAGTGCTCTGAACCGACAGACGGTCAAGGACAGGCCCAGATTTATCTGAAGTGTTGTCAGCCGTTCTTGCGTGTTTGAAAAGAAAAGAATTGGACTGCTGTAAATAAGCAAATATTTTACGTAATATAGTCATGAATATGTTTATGTACACAAATATATGCACGGTGCACACCAATTTATATTGTAAATATGAACTTTTGTGATTAATCATTCGACAGCACTTATTTGGTCTGCTTGACCTTGTGTTTAAGGGAGTTTTCACACCTGTGAATCGATTCAGTTGTTCCGAAACAGAGATTACAATTGTTACATTGTTGCTCTTTGCTCTTGGAGCGGTTCGCTTTCACACTGCAAAGTTTCTAATCGGACCAAAAGAGCTAAAACAAGTCACGTGCGAGTAAACTCTCCTCACATTGGTCAGAGTGTCAGGGTTTATTTTGCAGCGTCCCGCTCAGCTGTCAGGAGAGGTGGTGGTTTGGTGGTGATTGACAGGGTGTGCCCGCTCGACGTGTCTGAGGAGAGATGCGGTGGGGAGGGGTGAGAAGGGTGCGGGACGATGCCTATTTGAGGACCGAGAGGGAGACTCGAGATTACCGGGAGATCATCACTTGTTTGCGGGCATCCGGAGACTCGTGAAACTTCCCGCCATACTCATAATTCTCTCTTCATATAGCCGTAAGCCTATTACATATCCATAAAACACTGTGATATAACCGCGCTCGGATCGGATCGCTTTCTCACTGCAATCGAACCGCTTCAGGGTTCGTTTCAATCGAGCCGAGACCACCTCATTCAAGCGATCTCGGAGCGATTACTTTGGCGCGGAACAGAGCGCGATTGCCCTGTTCACATATGCCAAACGAACCGCGCTAACTGGGCAAACGAGATACGTTCCAAAACAAAAGTGTAGGTGTGAAAGCACCCTAAAACTTCAGCAGATGCTTGGATCAACCGGACCCGAAGCATGCGTTGAAACTGGCTCATCCGGTCAGATGTTTGTGTTTTTCAGATGGAGGTCTGGAGGAGATGGTGGAGGAGCTGAATAGTGGGAAGGTCATGTATGGGTTTTGCCGTGTTAAAGACCCCAACTCTGGACTTCCCAAATACGTCCTCATCAACTGGGTGAGTATAATTTTGAACCATTCTTCTTTAAATATATGCTGTTTCATTCCAAACGGTTCCATTTTTTTATATATATATATAGTTCTATATATAGATTCATTGTTGAATTTCAAGCCTGATAGTGCTATATTATGATGGACTTCGTTACAGCGGCGCAAAATTATTATTATCAGCTTTTCCTAATATGCAAACATGTTTGTTTGTTATTATGTTTTAATGTACATGATGTCCTCTTATTTTTCAGACCGGCGAGGGTGTTAAAGATGCCAGAAAAGGCCAGTGTGCGAACCACGTCAGCTCTATGGCCAACTTTCTAAAGGTATCTCAACCGTTTTGTCAGTTTTCAGCATGTGGTTACTGTGAATACTGTGATTGGGTTTATATAGGGTGAAGTCTCGTTATGACTCGCATCGCTGCAGTTCACAGAATATAACATCATGAGCTAAATCCAGAGCCACACGCACTTGATTTGGTTTGTTAGTCATTATGCAGCTACATGCCATTTTAAAACTAAGCTGTATTAGGGTAAACGGGGCCTAAGTGTATGTTTTTGTGAGCGGCTTGCTTCTGCGGCGAGGGCAGGGTGGAGGATCGCGATGCCGGCTCAGCATCGTGATGTCTATAAGCCATCGGGGATGGATGATGTCATCAACCCATCAACCCATTTATATTTATAAAAAATCAGTACATAATGAAGAGAGAGGACTGATGTTTGAATCTGGATTTCTCTGCTGTTTATTTCTTTGCATCAGATGCATTGCTGTAAACAAGGAAGTGTGTAAACAGGGAAGTGACTGTGTAATGCCTGATTAGAAGGTGTTGTGTGTTTATATTGAGAGCATGCAGCCAAAGGTTGCTAATAAATAAGCCAGTGAAAGTGTGTGTGTGCGTGGGTTTGTTTTATTTTAAATCAGACTGTGAATCTTGACACTTGCGACCGACGTTTCCTCTGTGCGCATGTTTATAATGAGTGCTGAAAACATGTCGTGTATGTGTGTGTGACTGATCTGTTGGTGCTGTTTGTTTCGACAGGGAGCTCATGTGACAATAAACGCTCGTGCGGAGGAGGACGTGGAGCCTGATGCTGTCATGGAGAAAGTGGCCAAAGCTTCAGGAGCAAACTACAGCTTTCACAAAGAGACCAGCCGCTTCAGAGACTCGGGGCCGCAGGGACCTGTGGTCAGTCACACACACACACACACACACACACACACACACACACACACACACACACACACACACTACCAATAGTGCACTGTTTATATATAAATATGTGTATAAATGTA